GACCTAGAGAAACGCATCTTTTTCAGAGTCGGACCATGGAACGAAACTAACAATTAGATATTCAGGTGTGTGCTTGGTCGAAGTCTCCCTTAGCATTATAGTGCTGGTTCGACCTTGTTTTTACAACTTGAACGGAGCGTCTATGAGACCCTGCGGAATATACCTAGTCCTGTGTCATCTGCCATAGTATTCGTGATTTTCAGCATTGAACCATTGATTTGCTACATTCCCAAACGTTTCGCCGGAATCGTCAGTGAGAGGCGCCATCGTAAGCACAGAGTTAAAAATTATCAAAGTGACAAGTGAAGGCATCACCGTTGTGGCATCACTCCTCGTCTTTATTTTTTGTTCTGCTTTCTAGTGCCGCATCTCTTTCTCTCAACCCCACTTCATATGGCGCATCCACTTATTCACACAATTCTGTGCTATCGTTTCCTACAATGCCACCTAAGAGTGTGTCGTTACAAATGGATTTAGCGAAGCCTAATCATTTCCACCATAGGTACCAGGTGCCATTTGCAGGGCTACATGCCTACATTCTGCTCCCTTTTTTCAAAACCTCAAATACGTTTGGGAATGTACCAAGTCAATGACCAAATGCTGGAAATCGCGAATAATATGGTAGAGAACACACGACTAGGTACGTCCCATCGGGTCTCCCTGACGCTTCGACTAAGTTGCGAAAGCATGGTCGAACCGAAACGAACAGTTTTTATGACAAAATGTAAGGATAGATTACCAGAAACATTCTAACACTGCTGGCTTTGCTTCTGAATAATAAACCTTGCGATTCACACTAGCCATCTTTGACTAAGCAATTGACGCATAAAATATCCTCTTCTAACTTTTTATGTCCACCCAATAATTCGAATCCATATTCGCCTGATTGCTGAGCTAGCAAGAGCATGCACTTCATTTTATTCTATTTAACTTTTTGATCCCCTTCTGTCTATTCAGGGTTTTCATTTTCTGGAACCTTCTATTCGTCAACAGGTTTTACTGCTGGCACTGTTTCTGCTCACATGTCTGGCATGGCCTCCTCCAATCAAGTTCCTGCATTAGCCTCCAGCCTCCCTTCCAGCGCCTCATCCCTTACTGGCACGTCCGCTGCCTCTTCGGCTTTGATCTCATCAGTTGGCATCGGTACTTCTAAGCTGGATGACCTCATCTCCGGTAATGGAATGCACTCCTTTCTTTTGCCGCCTCCTCCCTTGCTCCCTGGAATCCATGTAGCTGGCCTTCTCTCGACCACTACTGCTATGTCTACCCTGGCCAGTACTAGTCCAGGACTCGTTTCTTCCTGTGCATTGGCCACTCATTTAGCATTGGCTTCATCGACGTCATCGTCGGCTTCAGGTTCGTCTCAGACTTCACAACCAGCTAATAATGAAATGTTTCCTTCTCATGGACCCATCGGCACTTCCTCGGTCACTTTTGTTACATCTGCTTCAGCTTCACCCTCGTCTGCTTCTTCATTGGCTAGTTTGGTGGCCTCCAGCAGTTTGGCAGCCTTAGTAGACACTGGATGCTTACCCGCCTCTTGCCTCACAACACCAGGTTCTCTCGTATGCCAGCCAATGGCTAGTGGCAGACAGCAAAGATCTCGTTAGTCATGAACTATGAAACTATCTCTCATTTTCTACGACCATGACTGAATGCATTTTGAGTCTCTATTCCTTTATTATCAGATAATTTTTTAGAATTTTGAATTATACCAAATTTGAGCTGAATTTTCCCTCCGGATGAATCTTCTAATGCAAAAGCTCTAGGTTAGTATATGGTAGGATAGATCGGCTGAGTTTTCTGAAGATATCCGCAATCTCATACACACTATCTATAATCAGTCTTATGAAATTCGCTTGTGTATTGTGACCTATTTTTAGTATCTTGTTGGATAGTGAATTACGGGCGAGAAGAAAGACTCATCTTTGTTCTTATTTGTCATAGCACTGACAGATTATTGTCCTTCTTTTGAAGTTGCAAGTTTGTTTATGATTTAAAATTTCTGATTTCTCTCTATTCTTGACTTATTTTCCAACAATGTCCAAGGCTTATCGGTTATAAGCAAGATTTTGCCATCGGGATATATTTACACTTATATTCCCACTTCATCCACTTGTATATATTCTTAAGATCTTAGCGAGAAAGAATGGCCTTATATTTCACCTTATGTCATTGGAAATTTAACGTAAACATAGAATTTCTTCTTTCCATCATTAATTATACTATAAATCATCTCACTCGTTTTTTATTTTTATTGCTTATGCATCCGTTATCTCTTTTTATCGTTTTCCAGCCTATTCTGCGTCCTCTGTGAAGAGGCCTTTTCGCATTCTTTGAGCTGCTTACTCATCCTATTTTGCAGGCTGATTTTTGCTCTGGGATTTATATTTATTGGGAATATTAGCTTAAATAACCACGGCTTCTCAAATTCCTTCCAATAGTGGACGATGCTTATATACGCTTATTTAGATTTTCCTATATTCGTTGCCGTTATGCTTCATCCCTTACATTCTCTCGTTACTGCTCTCATTTGCCTAGTGCTGAACATAACCAATTGTCTATCCTTCC